CCCAGCTCCCTTCCCCCCCCCCTTCCACACTACTGTTTTCACTTGTGTACTTGCTCTTCCCCCCTTCCTTCACTGCTCTCACATAGCTGTGTATATTTCCAACACAGTCTGCATTTACCATTTCTCACGGTCTCTTTGCTTGCAGATTTCTTATATTTTTCTTCTACCCTGAAGATGGAGGCGATACGTTCCCCCGAAACGTCGGTTAACACCACATATACACGGTGCCAAATCCCAGAAGAGTGCTTTCTTCATAGTGACCGCCGTGAAAGCCTCAAATCTTACAATAGTATATCTTCTTTGAAATTTCTGCAATATATTCTTTGCAGTTTTGCATATCTATATATTTCTTAAATCACCCCACACCAACTAGGGTCTTCCTTTCTATATAAGGGAGGTAAGGGAAATCACGTGGTACATGGGATTATGGAATAATGGTAAATGAGTGGGGGACATGAAGGAGGGTAGAGTACTGGACCGAAACAGGAACTCCTAAGCCATCCGAATGTAAACATTGCTCAACCTCATAAAATTAAAAGAATATGATTCATTATACAAAAAAATTAGTACATATATAAATTACAGATGTCATTAATAATTACAACTCTTATTTAAGACAATTTTTCAATATCATAAATATTTAACAAAATGCAGGGGAAACTAATTTCAAATTGGATTATTGTATTACTCGTATCTGTACTGTGATTAGCTATACAATAGTGGGTTTGTATCCGCAGTAAACAAATATCAGCATCAATGTGGTATGCAGAACAGAAAAGAATGCCTTTGAAAAATATATACAATTCAAACTGAAATTATCTTTCTCCCTTGTTCAGTGCCATTCACTGCTAACAAACTGTGTTTATGATCATTTATGAACAGTATAATAAAGTGTGAGATTTGAGATTCCAGCAGCAGGTGACTATGAAGATTACTGTCTTCTGGAATGTGACGCCATATAGTCTGGTGGATGTTTACTGATCTTTCTGTGCCCATTTTCATGGGAAAAAAAAGAGCCTTTAACCATGAAAATGGAGGCAGCATCTACCTCCGAAACATTCGTAAACTTCTAAGACACAGCATCACAACAGAGAAGACAGTCATCTTGAGAACTTCAGCATAACTTAAAATTTATATTGTGTGGTTGAGAATAAACCTGAAGTGGAGCTGGCTGCAGACTGCTCAGATATGGTGCTGCTGCAGTCAGCACTTGATCAACCTCACGCTCCTGTAGGTTCAGATGTACAGCCAAGTTTCCCATGTTACTCAGCAGTTCCTTCTGGAGTTTGAAGAGCTGGGTGAACCTGTATGATGAGCCCCTGTCTTTCTTCTTGCTTTCAAGAGAAGACTTCATTAATGTCTGACACAGGGATGGTAAAACTTGCCTGGAAAGAAAACATTACACATTATATCATGCAATAAAACAAACATATGAGAAATGAAGACCTCAGCTACACAGCACAGTTTACAATTCTTTACGGCTACTATTTTCAAATTCTGAGGCATAGCCTTGGGATTTCTTTGCTAGTAACCAAGACAATATACAGAGGATTTTTAGGAGAAACATCTTGAGAAGTGGCTATCTGAAGGATCAAGAATTACAGGATAACAATAGAAGTGGAAAAGTGTATTAATTTGAGTTCATATACTTTCAAAATGCATTCTATGCAATTTTGCATATTGGGATGATCCAAGCTAAGTGAATATCTGGAAGGACAGAAAAGGACACATATAAACGATCCAATACAGATATTTTCTCAGTTGGACTTGTGATTTCTGATTTTTTAAGATCTGTATATTCTTGTTTCTCAGAGCGAGAGAGCTCATTTGGATAGAAGTTTGGAACACCCAGTCTCCCACATTCTGTTTAGTGCTACATAACTTTAAGCATCATAAAGTAACAGAATGAAGAAAAACATCACTTTGGGAAAGATTTTTACTTACTTTAGTGTACGTGACCGTATGAAGTCTTTTGCTGTCTGTGCAAGTGTGCAGAGAAGACCAAAGCTACGATTAATCAGAAGATGATCTGAGGTCTCAGCAAATCTGCTGACAAATGGTGACCAGACTGCATGTACAATTGGCAGTAATTCATTTTCCCACGTCTCCAATATCAGCAAGCCTTCCTGTAGAATGGCTAGAACAAGAAGCTTCTGTTCCCTGTTTTTACTTGGCAGAAAATGTACACATGTCTTAAGAACAGAAACTGTCATTTCCACAAACAGTGGTAACTTCTTTTCCCCACCACAATTTACCTCGCCACTTTCATTATAGACTCCTCTATCCTTGTCATTATCTTTATCTTTGACACTATTCTTGATGTCATCTGACTGTTTTTTGTACTGATGATACTGAATAATATAATTAACAACCTGCGAAGTCTGCATAATTCTTGGAACCAATTCCAATGTTCCCATTTCTTTTCTATCAATCTCCTGGCAAGTTTTCACTTCACTGTTATTGTCCTTTAACCATCGCCTTACAGAGAAAAGAAATGTGTAAAATACTCGGAGGAAAGAGACAGCATTTCGGTCCTGGAAGACATCACAGCTCTGTAACAAAACCTGGAATTCAAAAAGAAAAATTAATCCTGACACATTCACTGTTATGAATGGAACAGTTCAGCCACATGAATAAATACACATGCTGTTAAATCTAGTGGGAAATATTCCTCTAAACAGCACTGTAACACTGACCTTTCTAAGATAAATGCTGCAGAAATGTAAAAGTAAAGCTATCCCTGTAACAGGCCATGAAGGCCCATCCATAGGATTGTGAGACGTTGCGGGTCCCACATTATCTAGACAATAAGCTAAACGATGGCAATAAGGTTGTCAGACTTATGCGCCAGCCGCGCTTTACTCCCCAGGAAAATTATTTAATTAATTCCTGGTACTCATTTCTCTTAGAGGCAGAGTCGACCCCAGGGCCATAGCGCAGCTGGAAGGATTAGGTCAATTGAAAAGAATCCAATGACCTCATCGGGACTTGAACCCGCGACCTTCCAGCTTGTAACACAGTGCCTCAACCAACTACATTACCGCGTGCCCTCCAGAAATGTAAAATATTAATGTTATTAATTTTGGGGTTTTCACGGCAGTGATTTTTCATGTTGTGGTCTTCTGGGTTGTGACACCATGTACTCTTGTAAGCAGACACTCACCATTCCCACTGGCTTGGATTCAGCTAGATTTCCTTATGCCCTCCCTTGGGTTTCAAGGGCTACCTTCCTTTTAACCTGCCTATAAAACTGAGCCAGTCCTTCTACCTGAACAATTCAACTCTAAAGAAGGAAGCAGCATGTTGCTCCAAAATGTGTCTCTACTACAGGACCTCACAGTGTCACAAGCCAGAAGCTCATTATCTGAAAATAATGTCAATAATGTGTCTAATATGAACTAAACTACATATAACATAAAATTCTGGGAGCAACTCATGATGTCGATTATCCTTCACATCTATACCAAGATGCTAACAGGGATTATGAATGAATAACTATTCAACATTGTCATACTGCCATTTAAAAATCCCAAGCTCCACCTGCATGTGACATAGTAAGCCCCAGGTTGAATGACAGATTGCAGCACTGTTGTCAGATCTTCATTCTGACAGCGAATGTCAAGAGAGTCCAGTTGGAAGCTTGAAGTAGTCAAGTACAGGCAAGGATGTATTATCAGTGGAAAAAACCATCAGGTGATTCACTCACAAGGCAGAGAGTGTGGCTATGTTCCTGACACACACATGACTGTTGACCAATACTATTTTGAGGCAGACAGCATTGAGACCTGACACGAAGTAGATTAAATCACAGTGGGTTACGGTGACTATCAACAATGATCCCCTTTTCTAAATTAAAATGGCCAGGGCATGAAAGTGACGATTAATTTCCACGTAATCCTGCTGCATACATGTGTGGCCTTTCATCTTTATGCCTCTTATATGCATTCATGACACTGTGCTTAGACACAAGCAGCATTTATACCTTACACCTAACACCATGTGTTTACTTTTGATTGCTTTATATTTCACTAACCACTTTCACTTAGTTAAATTCATTCTCTCCTCACATCACCAGGAGCTGGGATAGCATAGTCAGTATAGGAACTGGCTTCAGGCTGGATGACTGAGGGATCGGAGTTCAAGCCCTGGTAGGGTCAAGAATTTTCTCTTCTCCACATTGTGGTCTACCCAACCTCCTATCCAATGGGTACTGGGGGCACCTTTCCTGGTGGTAAAGTGGCCAGAACGTGAAGCTGACCACTCATCTCCAGCTAGTGCCAAGGTCAAGAAAATGTGGATCTATACATCCACTCCCCCATGCACCTTCATGATGTACTGCTTAATTAGTTAAGCACAGGGGCAAGTTTACTATACTTCTACCTCACATCACCAAATGTACAACGTTGTGGTTAGCAGTCATTCTCTATATTCAGAGGTCCCAGGTTTGAATCCTAGCCAGCAGAGCAGCAACCTTGATTGTTTATGTGGTTTTCCTTAGTTCCTCCTATGAAATGTTATGCTGGAACTTCAATGGGCCATAATTCCCAGATCCTTCCCATTCAGTGTTCAAAACTGTGCTCCCATCTGATGCTTACTCAGTTTACAGAAAATAATTAGATATACTAACTTTAGTTTTAATATCTTGGTAACAGAATCCTGAATTAAACACTGCCAGTGACAAAGCTACTGCTGGACAGTATCCCGGGCCAGTTCAATGCAGCTGATATTCTTATGTCTATTTCTTTAACACATTGAGGACCGGTCGCATGATATCATGCTTTTGGCTTTTAAACATGGCGGACTGGTGGCACATTATTATGATTTTAGGACACGTTAGGTTGTAACACACTATACCTTGCTCTGGTGCCACCCAAATGAATGACTACTGTGTAATATTACTCCAGAATGTTTGCTTAGTAGGCAGTAACTTGACCTTGCTTTTTTGGTTCCCCCTCCAAAGGAAAATGATCTTTGATGCTTCAAGCTCTCATGTACCAGGCAGGAAGTTAGTGCAATATGAATCAAGGACAGAAGCGGCTGAAGACCAAGCGATCTCTTGGAGAACAAGAAATATCTGACTTGTTCTCTGATGAGCTATCTGACGTGCCTTCTGAGAGGAGTAGTGAAAGTGACTTAGACAGTGGCAGTGACAGGGGACAACAAACAATTGTGGCCACAGACAATAAAAGTGAAAGTAGCTCCAACAAAAGTGCAGGTAGTAACATTGAGGGGACAGCCACATGGGGAAAAGTAGACAAAACGCCTACTTTGGGACAGTTTATTGGAAATCCAGGGGTAAAACAAATTCCATCGGACCCAACGCAAGTGTCTGAAGTAGCAAAACTGTTTTTTTGGAGATGGTTTCTTTGACATGTTATGTCAGGAAACTAACAGATATTATCTCCAACACTGTAAAGAATATGACCGAAATTATAAGGTGCTGAAGTGGGTGGATGTCACTTCAGCAGAAATGGAAAAAATTTTGTAATAATCATTCTAATGGGGCATACAAAGAGGGATAATCTAAAAGAGTATTGGTCAACAGATCCATTTTTAGAAATTCCCATTTTCGGCAAACTAATGAGCCGTAAGAGATTTGAGCAAATTTGGTGGTGTTTGCATTTCAATAATAATGAACTGCAACCACAATCAACAAGCAGGCTTTTCAAAATTAATCCCTTATTAAACTTTTTCGTTCCAAAATTTCAGACAATTTATAAGCCAAACCAACAACTGTCTTTGGACGAATCTATGATTCCTTGGAGGGGAAGGCTTCGTATGCGAACATATGATCCTGGGAAACTTACAAAATATGGCCTACTTGTTCGTGTAGTTAGTGAAAGCACTTCAGGCTATATTGGAAATTTAGAAATTTATTCTGGTGAAGGCAAAAAATTACAAGAAGTTTGGGAACCCCATCTTGATAAAAATTACCATGTCTATCAAGAGAATTATTATAACAGTGTGGTGACTGCAGAATACCTTCTTTCGAGAAAAGAACGTGTTTTTGGAACAATTAGGGTGAACAGAGGCCTTCCTCCAGATCTGAAAGAGGAATCTAAATCTTTGAAACGTGGTGAAACCACATTCAGGAGGAAGGGGGATATTCTTCTTCAGTCCTGGAGGGATACTCGTGTTGTGAATATGATTTCCACAATTCACAATACGAGCATGGTTGATGTTCAAAGGAGACATGGACAAGTAAAGAAGCCTATTTGTATTCTGAGTATAATATGTTCATGAAGGGAGTTGATAGAGCTGATCAATATTTGGCCTATTATTCTCTTCCTAGGAAAACAATAAAGTCAACAAAGAAAGTTGCCTTGTGGCTTATAAATTGTGCCATTTTCAATTCATTTTTGGTTTACAAAAGTCTAAACCCTGATTCAAAATTGAAATATAAAGCATTTCTGATGAATGAGACAAAGGCCTGGGCTACAGACCAGATGGTAGCGGCAGAACCAGAGTCAGACACAGACTTAGTGCGACCGGGTCCATCAACTCCCACCCCATGCAGGCCTCATGTGGACCCCCCCGGGCGACTCTTGGGTGATATGCGGAAACATACCCTCGTGAAAATTGTGAAGAGTGAACATTCCAAGGGGAAGCATCCTTCTAGGCAATGCTGTGTTTGCACAGTTCACAGAAAAAGGAGTATGACTGCCTACATTTGCAAGTTCTGTGTAATGCCACTTCACAAACGGGAAGGTTTCCAGAAATATCACACTCTCAAGCACTTCTAGGAGGATTGGTAAGTGTTCTCCAAAAATTTTAGTTCATAAAATTAATTAGGAGATTTTATATTAATTTTTAAAGTGAACAGTGCAAAAGTTAGGATACTAAGTTTAAAAATGCTGGTCCCCAGGGTGATTTAAATATTTAAATTGCCGGTCCTCAATGTGTTAAGATCCGGTATTATATTTCCCTCCCATCATATACTTGATCTTACAGTCTGTGTTCTCAGCCCTCTCAGAATCACAGACTAGTAAAACAAGTTTCCCAGTAACCAATCTTCTGTCTCCTATTGTATAAGAAATCCTAGTACTTCTAGCACAAAGGGGTGGATTTAAGTAGGAGCAACCATGGCAGTCATCCAGAGACCTTCACAAAACAGAAATAGAGCCAACAGATTTTACTGAGATAACTGCTTCACCAAAATCACAAAAGTTGGTTAACATTTTCAGTTATTAGTCAACGCAATGCCAGGCATTGGCTCAATAAACACTCCATGATATGCGCACGCAACAATAGGGCGAATGTTTATTGCTCGTTGCTAGATAACAGTCAGCATGTCAATGGACTGGCAAGATAGTATCATATGACTGGTATTCTATGGGGTCTGCGTCACGACCATTGCTATGCAATGGCTCAGTAAACAAACCTCAACAATAGAGAGACTGCTTTCTGTGTGGTCCATGCCATGGCTATATAACGAGATTCCCAAGAATAACCAAGGCAGTGAATGACAGAGTTCTGAGTTCTGAGTTCATCGAAGAGGAATAAGAAGTCGACCTGTGAAGTGTGATTGGAAGGCTCCATTCATGTGTAATTCTGGAGTGTGTGATTCAGTGAAACTGTTATAGTTCCCATGTTATAAACCCATGAAGACTAGTGCAGAGACACTGAGACACTATTGCACAGTGCTTACAAGAGAAGTGAACAGAAGACCTGTGAAGACTTAACATATATGTCATAATTACAGTACTTCTGAAAGTGTTACAATTATGTTTAGTTACAACTAATGAAGATCCAATAAACTGATTCACCAATCCAAACCCTTGTCTTAGTCACTGTGACATGTGACAGTACTATAAAAAATTGTCATAACCTATACTTTCATTTTCATTTCATGCATCCTGTTGTTTCTTTATTAAAACCACCACAACACAACTATATTAAGGTCAGTGCCTAGTTTGGCTCTGCTACATGTTTCGGCTATTAGAAGCCATCATCAGGCAAATACATGGCTAACATATATACACAACGTTGTTTACATTCCATACAAAATGGACAATACTTTGTAAGATGAGGCACCAACTAAATAATTACCATTAATATTACTACATCTACATCACGAGCCTCCAAAACAGTTTATTATATATACACAAAATATAGAATACTCCAATTTGTCCATGGGAACACAACAAAATCACAAAAACCAATGACTGACTCGATGATGTAAAGCATCACTCAAAGAATTTTATTCTTGTTTTATACTATAACTTTTGTTTTATATAATCTAATTTACTGTATTTTTATGCCAAGTATTTTAATATAATTAATATTATTGTATCCAATTTTATTAGTACTGCAGTTCAGTGGTGTATATATGTTAGCCATGTATTTGCTATTAATAGCCGAAACATGTAGCAGAGCCAGACTAGGCACTGACCTTAATATAGTTGTGTTGTGATGGTTTTAATAAAGAAATTGTACCTATACTTCTTCTTACTGACAGGTGCCTTCACATTTTTATTGCCTAGCAAGACAGGGTAAAGTTGTTCCTCCGCTTAATTAGTTAATTGATTAAGCACTATGACATGAAGACAACGGGAGCAGATGTATAGATCCACATTTTCTTGATCTTGGAATTAGTTGGAGGTGAGTGATCAACTTCATGCTCTCATTGCTTTACCCTGAGGAAAGAGCCTCTGGTACCCTAGATACACATGGTGAGCCCCAGAGACAGCCTGGCCGAAGTGGAGAAGGGAAAATTCTTGACCCTATCAGGACTCAAACTCCGATCCCTTTTTCTTTGTACAGTAGTCCCAAACACTGTAAATCCACACTGATATGTTGGGATTTTGGACTTTATCCATCGTCCTGGTTTT